ATTCAATATTAACAAATCTATATATAATAAATTTTAAAAATCTAAGGAAATGCGAATCAACTCGTGTAATTAACAATGAATTTTGAAAGAATTTGAAGTTTGAATTGAATCGTAAATCGTAAGATCTGAAACAATTAACCTTATGTGTTCAATTCGAAAATAATATTCAAAGATTTGAAACGTTTAAGCTCAAGTCATATCAATTCGTAGACAATATTCAAATACGGTTAAACTCAACAATTTACAATAACGCATTATTCGAAGTAACTATGTATAGTTAAAGTTTAGTATCTTTTTTTAATTGAATTTTATCATAAAAAGAATAAAATTTAATTTATAAAAGTCGGAAGATTTAATCGATTCAAATAGTATGGTTAGATTAAATCTTACGATTTACGGTTTGATTCTTACATTTTTTTACGAATTAAATTTACTTTATTTTTTATTAAAATTGAATTAAAAGGATATTAGACTTTAATTATAAATAGTTAACTCGATTAATACGTTCTTGTCAATGGTTGAACTTAATCGATTCAAATCTTTGAAACATATTTACAAATTGAACGGACTTGAGCTTAATCGATTCAAGTCTTTCGATTTGGTTCTTACGTATGTTATGAATTAAATTTATTATTTTTTATGATAAAATTGAATTAAAAAGATATTAGATTTTAATTATAAATAGTTACTTCAATTAATACGTTTGTGTCAATTATTAAGCTTCATTGATTCAAATCTTTGATTAACGTTTACTACCTGAAAGAATTTGAGCTAAATCAATCATATCTTACTATTTGATTAAACTTAATATTAAAAGAAATATAACAATATAGTATTTTGAGTATATAGTTTTATTTTAAAGTAAGAAAACTAATTGGAATGAGTTATAATTTATTTTTTTCTTCTAAATAAACATCTTATTTTATTTTTTATTCGAATTTGTAACATTATCGATTCAGTAACCTAAGTGAGATTGTATTAAGTCACACATTTTTTTATATTTAATTGAGTATTTTTTTTATATTTTTGAATAGTGGCGTTTATGAATTTATATAATTAATAATAGATGTTTGGGGATATTGAACCGCAGTTCTTTATACTTTTTAAATTTTATTATATTTAATTTGTTAATAATTTATTTAACATTATTTAATAATAATGAATGCCGTGTTTAATATTCTATTTAACATTATTTAAACACTTATATTTATTATCACGTCCATTGTGTCTTACCAATATATAAAATGATTGTTAGAATTGTTCGGTAAAATTACAGTTTATGTCCCTAAACTTTATCACTAAAATGATTTATGTCTTAATATTTCAATCCACGCAATATGTCCTTTAACTTGCCATTTTTTATCACTTTATGTTCTGCCGTTATACCGACAGCTAACTTCGACGGAAATAGCACGTGTGGCTCACGTGACGTCTATGTGGCCGTTAAATGTGATGTGGAATAATATATTGAATATTAAATGTTGACCCGACACACGAATTTACTAATTTCATCTAACTCACTCTCCCAAATTACTAATTCACAGTTCATGCTTAATTCCCATAAATCCTAATTTGTCCACACTTCACAATTTCAATTTCCTCAATCCACTCCCAAATTTTCAATCCAATCTGCATTCTTGGTCGAACCCATATCAAACTCGAAGTCATAAACCAATAAAAAAATCCAAACATTCTCACATTTGAAGAGTTTTTCCCTTCACAGACGCCGCACTGCTTTGGGTGATTTCTGGAGAAGAAAATGTCAAGAAGGAGTGAATCCGGCCTTCAGTGGACTCCAAACTACAGTAAGTATCCTTAACTTTGAGGAAATTACCAAAATCGAAAATTGGTCAAAGATAACAACTTTGAGGAAACTTACCAAATTGAAAATTGTTTTGCGATTGTGATGCTTTAACTATTCAGACATTAAAAAACTTGAGAAGACGATTCTGCTATTTTCGAATTTCACCTCAATTAAAGGATTCGAAATGAGATTTTCGAATTTCACCTCAATTACGGGTTCATTGGGGGTATGGCGAATTAGGGATTTTAAAATAGAAATAAGGGAGGAGATTGACGTGTCGCTCCACATCACGTTTCATCGGCCAGGGAGACACTGGGTGTTGTCCAGCTCGACATTTAACGGCCACATAGACGTCACGTGAGCCACACGTGCTATTTTCGTCGAAGTTAGCTGTCGGCGGTAACGGCAGTACATAAAGTGATCAAAAGTGGCAAGTTAAAGGACATATTTCGTGAATTGAAATATTTGAGGACATAAATCATTTTAGTGGTAAAGTTAGGGACATAAACTGTAATTTTCCCGAATTGTTCATATAAGTTAATGTGCATGAATGGTTAGCAACGTTGAATGTAGTGTAAGATCTGAGGTTTAATTCCCTTTCATGATATTTATAAGGGTCGTATTTGACATTTTAAAGATTTTCTAGTCCGTTAATTAAAATTGATATGGTGCTAAAAAAAAATGTTATATTTGCTGGTTAGTGGTTACATCAACTTGGAACTATCCGTTAAGTATGTCAAATCTATTTCTTAATTTTATTTTCTTATCCTGGTGCAATTATTTTCTATCTAAAATTCTCATAAAGTGTACAAATGATTTTTTATTTTGAAATTTTTACGTATGTGTATTGTTTTTATGTGTATAATATTACCAAAACAAAAAAAATCGTAGCCGTTGCCTCCGAACCCCCGTTAACTTTTAGTACACCATTTTTATCGAGTGTTATTTATATATTTTATTATAATTAATTTCGAACACTCTTGTACAAAATCATGGACATGTCGAACAAAAATGCGGTAAAATATATTCAATGCATAAGCATCACTCTCAAATTATCTAAAGCTTGTTATTATAAAGAAGAAAACTAAAAAACAGAGCAAAACAGGGGATGTTTTGTTTGTGAAAAATTACCCCGCTTGTATTTATTTATTAATTATCTATCTATATATCTGCAGGGGCGGTGGACTCAGGCCCACCATCAATTTATAATTTATCCCCAATATTATACATATTTATACATTTAGCCCATTTTATTTTTATTAATTAGTACACCCAAAATATAAATTAATGCAACTATTTTCTTTTATATTAAACATTATGTGTAATTTATCTGCTTTTTTAAGTTAAGAGTTAATAATAACCATACACTGAACTACATTTGCGACATAATAATTAATTTGTTCGACCAGAATAAGTAGATTTTCATAAGCATATACATCATCAATAAACGGACACTTTTGCCTTTTATTTTCCCAAACCAAAAGCAACAAATCGTCCGCAATAGGTAATTTGTTTTTCCCAAAACCCAGGCCCATAACTCTAATACTATTTTACCAATTTGGGTCTCCGTAGTTCTGCGACAAAGCTGGTCCTAGTCGGGATTCGATATTTCCACCACCTTTATTTACCAAAAAAATACATGTCAAGTTTTTAAATGCATGTCTAATTAGGAATTAGAATGCTTGTCTCTTCTTTTTGTGTGTGTGTGTGTGTGTTTGTTTGTATGTTCAAACCTGTTGTCTTAATAGTTTGTTCTCTTCCATGAGTTGCATTCTCTGCAATTTTTGTGTGGTTATTAATAAGGAAAGAAACTAATAATCAAACATTATCGAATATGTATCTACAAATATACTTACGAAACGGAAACCAAAACCGAAACTCGTTTTATTTAAAACACCTTGCCACGAGCAGGTACACGATATATACCATCGTTAATACTCGAAACAATTTAGATTTTGGCAATGTAGCCAAAATATGAAGGCCAGTGATTTCGGTTTCAAATCATAATATATTCTAACACATATATAGTAAGAAGCATATTAATAACTTACTATATAGTATTGTATACTCAATATAATCAAGCATATAACAATCTAAAATAATTGAGTTAATTATATGAAAAGTTTTTGGATATACAGACCTTTTCTTGAAGCTGATTGACCTCTCTCATGATTTTCTCCTCCTGCCAATTAATATATATTATTATTAAATCAAAATAATTCGATCAAGATAACTGCACTGTTTAATTCCATATATATATATATATATATATATTACATACACACACACACAAGCACGCGCGCACACACACAAACGCACACCTTTTTCTCCATAATACGTCTCAATCCAACTTCCATTGCCTGCTCAAGACACTGCAACTCATCAATACTTAATCCTTGAAGTTCCTCTTCTCTCATGCGCCTGTCGACGACAACAAACTTTCTAGTTATAATATATATAGATTATATATATATATATATATATATATATATATATATATATATATATATATATGTATATATAATAATAAAAAGTGCATATATAGCATTTGCATCGATATATAGATGGAATATATATGTAAAATTAGACACATAGAAAATGCAAGTAACCTAAGTTGATGGCTTTTCTCAGCCACTTCTTTGTTGCTGTCCCGGACTAGCTGATGCATTGCGTATATATTTCACCAATTTTAATTTTAGTAAAACATCGTTAGGCAGATATATAGTAAAGGACGAAAATCGATAATTCTGAATTATCGATCAAAAATATTGTGATGTATAGCTAGCCATTAATGTACATTGAATATATATATAGCAATAATTTAGAATAATTACCTGCAGCTCCGATGGCTGCTTTAACTCATCAAGGTTCTTTGAGTGCAAATTATACCTTTCAATTATGTCCTTCATACTTCATCACACACGAAACGGATCGAAAAAAAAGAAAATGATAGAGTTATAGGGTTGTTCACATATTATATGATTGGATTTTGGTTCTAAATTCACAAATAGGTATATGTTGCATAGACATTGGAACGCGGAAACGGCGAAGCGTAGAAAAGCATACGGGAAAGTGACGTATTCTAGAAGAGCTAATAGCACACCCCCGTGTTATTTCTAATTGTCAAAAAAGTCCTCGTGATAAAACAATTAGCAAATTCCCCTTTATGCTGTACTTTAGATTGCACAGTGCCCCATTTATCAAATTCAATTGTTGAATTGAATGAAAAGACAAAATTATCCCTCATATAAAATAAAGCAGAATATCCAAAACCCAATTAAAAATATTGTGAAAAAAGAAAAAAAAAAGCAAGAGCTGCCCCTCTTCCTTCAAACTTCCACCACCACCCGCGACAATTACCTCGTCCCGCTGCCGCCCCATACTCCCGCCGGTGTCGGCCGTCTACCTCTCACAGCCCAAATCAGTCGTCCACCACCGCACATCCCACACTCGCATATCAGACCGACGCAAACCGCCGCCATAGTGGTGCTTTGATTTGGTGGAACTGTGGCATTTATCGCCGGTTGAAGTGGTCGAAGTTCCTTGGGAGATATGGAACAGATGAAAGGGGGTGTTAACCTTTCCTTTTGGCATTTGTGAGATTTTGGCGAGTCGAGGGTTTTGTTGACGTCGACGGTGGAGAGGGTAGTCGTAGACTCCGGGAGGTAGTGAGGCGGGCGGCGAAGCGGAGGTTGTGGCAAAGTTGGGCGGCTAGTTAGGAGTTTGTTGAACTGGCCGGCAATGGTATTTTTGGGTGTAGTGTAGGAGAGGGTTTTTATGAAAGTGTAAGGGACTGAAACAAAAAAATTGAAAACTCCATTTTGGTGCTTATAAAAAATTCAGGGTGAATCTGCAATTTTTAAATTTGTGTCTTTTAATGTAAAAAAACTACACTCTCAGTCGCAAAGTTCGCGTGTGCAACACACGATAAGTTATTAGGGGTCCCTGCCAATTATTTTAACACGGGGTTTACGACAATTAGATTACACAAGCGCAGTTATTGCAAAAAAGAAAAAAACCATTCTAAAAAGTAGGACAGAAGAATGTGGGAATATGTGTAAAAATTAAAAATTATAGGGGTATATTTATAAATAATAAATATATGTATATATGTTTTTTTTATGTATAAATAAATTTTTTGTATATATTTTCATACAAATATCCTCAAATAATATTATTATAAACTAGTATCATTGGAATTGATCAATTGATCACTAAATGACCTACATAACTAAGTAATCAACTAAATATTTAAAAAATTTACTTTTGAATAAATGTTTCTTTTTTGAAAATTACAAAAATGGCCCGTGTCAGACACGAAATGTGTCCGAAACACCAATACACAAGCACTCGTAAATACATACACATACATTTATATATAAACATCTATCTATGTAGAGAGAGAGAGAGAGAGAGAGAGAGAGAGAGACCTGGTGGTGGCATAGGTGAAGAAGTGAATTGGGGTAATAGAAGAAGAGGAGATGATGAGGAGGCCAATTTCAGCATCGCAAAGAATAGAGAGTTCTTCAGCTTTCTTGAATAGCCCCTTCCTTCTCTTTGTCAATGTTACCTGCCGCGCTGCCACGTTGGCGATTTTCTTTATCTTCATCTTCTCTCTCCCCATTTTTTTGTATGTATGTATATATTTCAAACGATTTTTTGTTTTTTTTTTTCAGCAGAAATTTAAGAATTAATTACTGCTTCATGGCAGAATAATACAGGTTAAGAGAGAGAGGGAGAGAAGCATTCTATATGCCATTTTTGGAAGATAACATATGAGAGAGACTACAAAAACCAAAATACCCAACAACAAAAATTAAAAATAAAATAAAGAGATACTCTAAATAACTTAAGATATAGACTTCATTAGGCCACTGTTTCTTTTAGATCCAGATGATGAGAGAGAGAGAGAGAGAGAGAGGCTGTAAGATAAACCCACAAATAAGACAAGGGTATATATACGAGGAAGTATAGTAATAGAAGGAAAGAGGGAAGAAAAGATTGGTCGGAAAATTGAATTGCTTTTAGTCTTTTACCAAATTGTAGCTTTGAAGTGATGGGTTTTTGGGTGGTGGCCCGGTTTATTTGGTGTATTGGAAAAATTACAATCACCTGATGTATGGATAATTTACGAAAAAGTCCCTTTTATTTGGATAATTACATTTACTTTCTTCAATTATGATTTTTTTCTTGCACCTCTATTTTTTTGGTGTCAAATTCAACATAATGATCTAGATATTGTGGAATGTGCTCTAATTTGTACTCATTTTGTGTAAATATACAGTTTCTGATACACCACAATCTGATATATACAAGGCAAAAAACACGTATTATAATCATTTTGCTTCAAAATGTGGAGTTCGAATGGATAAAACGGGTACAAAAGTGATAATATTCCATGTAATCTCGAAGATTCCACTAAATTTGAAACCGCAATTGTGGACGTGTAAGAAGATTTATAGTATGATGGGAGGTTGTAATTACGCAAACAAGATGAGAGTTTTTGTAATTTGATCGTACCTCAGGGGTTGGTTGTAATTTATCTGATATAAATATCGAAAATAGAAAGAACTCTTTCTTTTTTCTTTGTTTATTAATTACTATTATAATTGTTTATTTTTGTGGTGAAACAGGTAGCCAGCTGTTTATTTCTCTTGGCCATGGTTGCTTATGATGTCTATTCGGTCAAACAAGGACAAAGAAATCAATATTTATTCTCTAAAAAACAAATCATATTTAATTATTTGCCCTGAGTTTGTATTGTGTATGGTTAGTGCCAAATCTCTGATAAAAAAAAATAGTTAATACACTCACATCCCTGAGGTATGCTTAAATAACTGTAAGGTCCCTGTGTTACCGATAATTACACTCACCCCCTGAAAGGTAGTTAAAAACTCTAAACGGATAATGCATTGGATACATTATTCCGATAGGGTTCTAATGGACTATTACTTTTAGCTAGTTGTGGAGATAACATAGAGTTATGAGGAGTTATGGGGTGACATGGCTCCCCCAATATCCTTTAAATCACCCATAACTCTTTGTTGTCTTCAGCACTTCCTGAAACCAATAGTCCGTTAGAACTCTATCGTAATAACGCATCCAATGCATTATACCATTGGAGTTTATAACTACGTCTCAAGGGGGTGATTGTAATTATCGATACCACAGGAACCTTCAAATTATTTAAGTATATCTCAGGGGTGTAGGTGTAATTTACCCAAAAAAAATTGGTTAGTGCCAAACTCGGATGGAATGTAGTGTAAAAAGCTTTTCCGGATTTTTTTCTTAACTTATTTTTTAATTATTCGATTAGGGCGAACAAAAGAGGGAAAATAATACTGCTTCTTGTGGATGAGAATTAGCAAGGAGGAAAAACTTTATAGGCTTTTCTGGGCCATGGAATAAAAATAATAAAAATGTAATTAATTTTGCACATTTAAACTAAATCGTTATTGCTTATGGGTGTCTTTTTGATTTATTTTTTAAATAGATATTAAAAATAAAATAAAAATTAAATTGGGAATCGGAAATTCTATTTGTTTTAGTTTTGAATTTTGATATAACTTCAAATTCAAATAAATAAATTAGAAAAGTCAAAATCAAAATTTTTGAAATTAGAGCTGTGGCAACGAATTCTTATCTGCGATTTAGACAAACAAGAAAAACTTGCACAAAATAATTTATTGAATTAAAATAAAATATCGTTAATCCTCTGATTCTTCTCTCAAGAAGAATATGCGTTTGACTTTGAATTTCCTTGAATTTGTTGAAGAACGACTTGAATATTGTAGAGAGAATTTTCTCCTGTTTTTCTTCTTCTTGAGTTGTGTTTTGAATTGTGTAGAGAGGGTCCCTATTTATAGTGGTAGAATAAGAGTCCTATTTAAAGTCTACTTGATGACGTGGCGCGATTTGATTGGCTCTCTTTAAATTGATATTTATCTCTTATAACTTGAAAGAGAAGAAATAATCATATTGGCCAATAATTAATTGATAATTATCTCCATAACTTATTTTGTAAGATAAATTATAAGGGTAAATTACAAAAAAACCCCTGAGGTATGGTCAAATTACAAAAACCCCCTCTTGTTTGGATAATTACATATACCCCCCTCAACTATGTTTTTTTCTTACACCTCCACCCTTATTGTGCCAAATTCAATATAATCATCTAGATTCCATGTAATGTGCTCTAGTTTGTATTCGTTTTGTGTAAAAATACAGTTTCCAATGCACTACAAACTGATATACACAAGCTAAAAATCACATATTATGATCATCTTACTTTATAATGTAGAGTTTGAATGGTATAAAACGGGTACAAAAGTGATAATATTTCATATAATCTCGAAGATTCCACTAAATTTGAAGAGCTGAGGGGGTGGTTGTAATTATCCAAACATGAGGGGTGTTTTTGTAATTTGACCATACCTCAGGGGGGTGTTTGTAATTTACCCAAATTATAATTTAATTTAGACACTATTTAATTGGCTAATTTAATTAACCAATTAATTAATTTTATACGTATACAAGAGCAGAAATATTTACTCCAAAATTGGTAATTTTTGGGTTCGGTGGAACCTTCACTGTGAACCCTACATCACTTCAGTCTATAAATACTGTGTTAAATGATTTTTTATGCTATGCTCGTTGTATGGGTTTTCACTTTTTAATTAGTAATACTAAATACTAGGGTCCTGTTTGGTTGCTAAGATAAATTATGATTAACTAAATAGTTGAACTTAATTTAATGTTTGGTATCCTCAATAGATTGACGGGTTGACCCGCTAAAATTATATAATCATGGCTTATTTTTGCCTTATCTTGGCTTATCTTGTCTTCTAATGAATTTTTTTGTTGGACGTTTCAAACTCCAATAAAATAATTGGGTTTCATTAGATTATTTAATCTTATCTTGGCTAATCTTATCTTGCCAACCAAACAGGGCCTAGGAGTATAAACTAGCTAGTATTCAATGATATAATGAACACAAACATACTCAATTTTGTAATGAGAAAAATGCAAATGAAAACAAGGTATTCTAGAAGCTCTATGCTCTCCACTCTCTCAAAACTCGGTAGTAAATGAACTACAGATCTCTCCCATTTTGTACAATCCGAGAGTTCTTTGTTTTGTAAAAAATGAACACAGCACTAGAAGAGATAATGAATATTAGTTGGTCAGTGGATTAGTGAATTAATTAAACATGTACTAAAATTATTCATATATATATATGTATAATCGTCCATTAACTAGCAATAATTATTCATTGATATCTTAGGTTAAGATATTATATTACCTCTATATATATGTATACATATATATGCTATTTAATTAGAAAATTTCTGGAAATAACACTTTTTTTTTGGTTTAGATACATTTTATAATTGGATCAAACATTGTAATATCTATGAATCATTAATCGGATCACACCTTCAGCATTTTCTTCTTTTGTGCATGATTCGAGAATGTTTAAATATAATGGACCACGTAATGAAAAGTAATTAAAAACAGAGTAACAATAACCTTAATTTACAATTGATTGGTTAAAGGTTCTTGATTAGCACATAATTATAAGATTAACACATTACTTAACTGATTAACAAGTTGAATTGGAGCTCAAAGCCAATGGTTAATTAGACCGTACATTTGATCAATAATGAAAACTAGGGTTGTGCGTTGGTTGGTTTGGTTAAAAACCAGTCATAAAACCAACCCAACCCATCCAACCAACTTTGGTAAATATTGGAAACCGTTATCGACCCAACTTACATGGGTTGGGTGATGGTTGAAAACCAATTTAATGGGTTGGTTGGTGGTTTGGTTGATGGGTCATCCATCTAAATATTTTTTTAATTTTTTTTTAATATTTTATTACTTATTACAACGCAATATCTTTTATAAATTAAATGCCACTAGTTCAATAATATTCAAATAAAAGATTCAAAACATTACGGGCATATATATTGCAATTAAACATAAATAGTTCAACAAATAATAATCGTCCGAATATTTAGACTGTATGTCCTAAAATTAAAATTGTTTAAATTAGATAATTAGGTTAGATTTATTGCTTTTAGGATTTTGGTCAATATTAAACAATTTAATAAATGTGATATAAAATAAAAATTTGAAATTAAAAATATTAAATATTTTAATTAAAATTAATAAATAATAAATTAATGAATAAAGTTGGTTGGCCGAAATTAACCGACTAACCAACATTTTAGCATATTAGAAACCATTATCGACCCAACTATACATGGGTTGGTTGACATTATCGACCCAACTTAAATGGGTCAGTTGATGGTTGATTAACCATCACAAATTGTGGGTCGAAAATGGGTTGGTTGGTGGTTAAAACCGATCCATGCACAGCCCTAATGAAAACAAACAAGAAACAGATATTAATGGACAAGGTTTACGTAGTTTCTGCCTTCATTCTAAATAAAATTAGCTTATATATATACTCCCTCTTTCCGATATTAGTTGTCATTTTTATTTATGTATCTATTTTTCGACACATACAAAACATGGGGTATACTAATTGCAATAAACTCGAGCTTTTAATTTATGATCTATCTTTTATGGTATGTTTTCTTTTAAATTATTATTAGTTTTTTTTTTTTTTTTGGGTTTGCAGATATTGTTCTGGATATATTAATTTCTCCTCTGCACCAGTTAGCTGATTAAGTACATTTGAAAAATACTGGAATCGAGGTTGTGAAGTATACAAGCTAAGGCCAATGGTAAGCTATATATATTAGTTCATCCGTTTCTAAATATATGTCGTTTTTCACCTTCGCACAAGTCTAAAAAATCTCAATAAATATGTCTTGATTTTATGAAAATATATATAGATAGACCAAAATACCCTTGTTTACTAACTAATGTAGAAATAATGTTGGAGAGTTAATAGAAGTATAATTGAAAAAAATGTAACTAATGCTGCATTGGAATTGTAAAATGACATATAATATGAAACAAAAAAAAAAATCTTAAAAGAGACAGAAGTTGTGGAACAAATGGAGAAATATATATTGAGTGTGATATGGGTCATTCTGACCAAGATGAACAAATACGAGTTAAGAAGAAATAGCTCACTACCACAAGAAAAGATATTGAGCTGTGATCTCCAAATGACGACCCATGACTTCGGCATGCCGCAGTTCGCAGCTGAGGATAAAAATAACCCAAGTCCAATAACAAGGAGCGGGCCCAAATTACGAAGGCCCAGGAAATGTAACTTGAAGAGGACAACACCCTAATAAAAGGAAACCTTGGAGATCAAGAAAGGTCCATCTATAAATAGAAGAAACATCATCTCTCCAAATATACACATATACATACTTGCATATTTTACAGTAATAACATCTTAAATCACACGCAACTGACTTGATCGTCGGAGCTTTCCCGCCGGGATCTCCCTCTGCGTTGCAGGTACACTCTCTCAAGCCTTGAACGCGGAGGAAGCCCCACGGACCAAATCAGAGTGGGTCAAGAAGATTGAAGTATAAGTATTAAGTACTAATAACATTAATAGCTGGTATCTCTCATAATAATCTTTTAATATTTATAAATCAGGTCAAATGAAAAGGTCAAGAAAGTATAATAATAGTAGTAGGTGGTTGTTTAATTCTCCAATTCTTCAAAACTTGTAATGTATCAAAGTTGGGCCAAATTAAAGGGTCTAATTTGAATCCCGCCACCACCATTTTCAAGTCTTTCGAGTGCAAGGTTTCAAATATAAATTATTCAAACAGCGCGTGTATGAATATAATTGTGATCGGACTTGGTTTTTGTGATTGATTTGAGCTCGTTTTCATAACAATAATAAAAACATATACAAACTATGCATTCCCTTCTACAGTGAGATTATTCATTATATATTACACATCCATAAAGAAAAATATTACTTAGCATTACATTCATATTATATCCATATCCAATTAGCAATTAAAATAGTCAATTCCCTGAAAATTGGACATTCAGATTTCGCCTTGCCAGCCTGCAAGATCAAAAAAAGTTCCATTGTAAAATAACAATATAATGTGCTATTTTATATTTACTAATGTTCAGCACAAGCTAAAGCAGTTGAGATATATGTTAACAATATTTATATATATATATCTGCACAAATTTAGAATATATTAATCAAAGGGTATATAAAAGATAAGAAAAAAAAATCTCACCCAAGCTTCTGGAGGACCAGTTGAGTTACAGACATAATTGACACAACACGTCATTACTTACTTCTTCGTCGCCGCTTCCATTTGTTATAATATCCATAACCTTTATTTCACAAAAATCACACGTCGAGTTTTTAGATGCGTGTCTAATTAGAATGCTTCTGTATGTGTGGTATTAAACGATACGTTTCATTAAAAGTTTAAGCTTTTGGTTGAGGTAGTCATTCAGTATGGTATCAGAGAGCCGGGCCAAATGAGAGATCCTGAGTTCCAATCTCACCGCCACTCATGATTTCAAATATATTTCAAGTGCTCGACTTCAAATGTAATTCGTTATATGTGTGGTGTGTGTGTGTGCGTGTGCGTGTGCGTGTGCGTGTGCGTGTGTGTGTTCAAACCTCTCGTCTTAGTAGTTTGTTGCCTTCCATCAGTTGCATCATCTGCATTTTTGTAGGGTTATTGATTAAGAAATAGAAAAAGAAAACAAAATCAATTAAACAAGATTGAAAATGTATCTACAAATATACGACTTGTATTCGAATTTTAATGAATTTTAATCATTAGTGCTGGGACAATTTAGATTTAGGCAATAATATGAAAGCCAGTAATTTCGGTTTCATTGTATACTCAATATAATCAAACATATATCAATCTAACAACAGTATTATTAATTTGGACAGGTAAATCGAGTTAATTATATCAAAAGTTTTTGTATATACAACAGACCTTTTCTTGAAGCTGATTGATCTCTCTCATGATTTTTTCCTCCTGCCAATTAATATATATTATTATTAAATCAAAATAATTCGATCAAGCTCACTGCACATTTTAATTCCATTTATTTATTAATATTGTAGAGAAAACCATATATATATGCGCACACACACACGTGCGCGCGCGCTCACACACACAAACGCACACCTTTTTCTCCATAATACGTCTCAATCCAGCTTCCATTGACTGCTCAAGACGGTGCAACTCATCAATACTTAATCCTTGAAGTTCCTCTTCTCTCATGCGCCTGTCGACGACAGCACAATTTCTAGTTATAATATATATATATATATAATATAAAGAAGTGCATATATAGCATTTGCATCGATATATAGATGGAATATATATGTAAAATTAGACACATAGAAAATGCAAGTAACCTAAGTTGATGGCTTCTCTCAGCCACTTCTTTGTTAATCTCGGAGAAATTGCTGTCCCGGACTAGCTGCTGTATTATATATATATATATATATAGATAGATATATATTTCACCAATATTTTAAATTTTAGCACAACATCGTTAGGCATATAGTAAAGGACGAAAATCGATAATTCTGAATTATCGATCAAGAATATTGTTATATATAGCAATAATTTAGAATAATTACCTGCAGCTCCGATGGCTGCTCCAACTCATCAAGGTTCTTTGAGTGCAATTTGTACCTTTCAATTATGTCCTTCATACTTCATCACACACCAAACGGATCGGAAAAAAGAAAAAAAAAATTGTCAAAAAAATCGTGAAGCTCAATATAATAATGCTTTGCTGTTATAATAAAGCTCTTGTGTTGGTTTTATATAGCCGACACTCACACACTAATGAACTAGTGATTCCATGCACCATAAAAATGATAAAAGCACCAAATTAAATTAAAGTAAATGTGTTTACTAGCAATTTTTTTGGATAAAGTAACTACTATTAATGATCGATCGAGCTGACAGGATCGGAATTTATAAACAAAAATAGTAATAATAAATAAATTAAAAAAAATAAAAAAAGAATTGCCATTATTCTGTGCCCACGTGTCACGACCCGCCTCTTAAGGTGGGCATTTCTTATTCAATCACTTGTGGCCTGTGGGCTTATGTATTTAATTCTTGTTGGGTTTTATAAGAAAATAGTTATATAATGAAAAAGCCCACAACTAAGAGCAACTCCAACCGGGTTATTAAATGGGTTATCAAATCCCTTAACCTCCATTTGACTCTTCAATTTTAAAAACTCTTTCCTCCAATGGGATTATTAAAATAAGGTTCTATTTTGATAACTCATCCTTCGGGGAGTAAAAATACAACCCAAATAAATAGTTATCAAATATTCTCGTAAGAAATAGGAGCACGTGAAAAAAGAAAAATCTCAAAATAATTGAGTTTTCTTTTCTTTACGTAAAAATCTCAACAGATTAAAATTAAATTTTCTACATCTTCAACAAATTTCCACTGGAAAAAAAAATCTCAACAAAATAAAATTAAATTTTCTACGTTTTCAACATATTTTTTTTTTCTTTCTCTAGAGCTTCAACAAAGTTTCACGGAAAAAAAATAATCTCTATTTATATATAAATTTTTTTTCTATTGAAAAGGTAAAATAAATATATAAATAATCATAAATTTGTTTGATAATTATTTTTTGATACTTGTGGTTGGAGTTCACTAGTTGTATAGAGATATCAAAGTATAATTCTGATTATCAAATGAGTATTTGATAACCCCATTTGATAACAATGGGTGGGTTGGAGTTGCTCTAATAGTTGAAAAAAAAAAATGGGGAGGAAAATATTATTATTTACTTGTTTTTCTTTCGATTTATTGTTATATAATTTTTTGGTGAAAAAGAAAGAAAAAAAAACCAAAATAGACACCACGTGAGTTGGATAATGGAGAGCGAAGAGAGCGGATGGGATCGGAGAAATAAAAATAATTTAAAAATAAAAACCGTTAGGAAATAAGTTGACCCGATCCAATTGGTCCCGGTTTTACAAACATTGACAATTTCATCAATTGCCCCCGGCCACATGTCACACACACACGCACCCACTGACACAGATGTACTGACGTATACAAACCCCATTTTTCACCATCTACACACACGCACTCGTTAATACTTAATATATATATATATATATATATATATATATATGTATATATATATATATGTATATATATATATATATATATATATATATATATATAGAGAGAGAGAGAGAGAGAGAGAGAGAGAGAGAGAGAGAGACCTGGTGGTGGCATAGGTGAAGAAGTGAATTGGGGTAATAGAAGAAGAGGAGATGATGAGGAGGCCAATTTCAGCATCGCAAAGAATAGAGAGTTCTTCAGCTTTCTTGAATAGCCCCTTCCTTCTCTTTGTCAATGTTACCTGCCGCGCTGCCCCGTTGGCGATTTTCTTTATCTTCATCTTCTCTCTCGCCATTTTTGTGTATGTATATATAT